GAGAGAGAGAGGGAGAGAATGCAATGGAACGCACTTCTGCAATTAAGTTATTAATGCCTGTAGTTAGCATTTCGATTAGACGGACGAGGGGCTCGCTTTATGCGACAGATAGCGACCGATTAATTGTTCATCGAACTTTAATGAACGTAACCATCGTGCTAATAAGATATCTGCTGCAAACGCTTCGTCGTCGTCTCCAATACACCGTAACGGAGTGCATTACTCTCTCCCAAGGTAATTGAAACTTCTACGATCGATCTAACCATATTTGCAGTTTCGTATAATTAGTTGTCGAAAATTCTCCACACCTGCCGCAAACTTTGCCTCGCCTTTGTATAAATATTTAAATACGTAAACGCGCGCTCGAACCCTCCTGCAACTCGCTTTTCAAAAATTACCCCTTGTGCGTACAACGACCGTCCAAACACCTATGCACAAGTCTGGTACAAAGAGCGGGCAAAATTCACAAATTCAAAGACAATTATTTAGGAGCAGAAGCAGTGCGCGTCGTGTGATCGATAGCGGGCCAGAAGAAATTCCGGCATCCGTGCTCAACAGCTGACACAAAACAACCGGTCGTCGTACTTCAACCCAATTTCCCCGGCAACTCCTTCATCTCAATTAACTACGCTCTCTTGTCGTCTACGCCAATTTACCATTTCCAACGAGCTAGCAAGACCTGTCTGTCCTTCGTTAAACTACGATTCACCTGACTGAATATGCCGTCCTGACTAATTCCACGACATTTTCCTTCCCCTATCCCTTTTCTCTATCACTTTCGTGTACGAATCTTTGCCGATCCTTCCTCTCTTCCCGATTATCCCACGCGCGGATTATATATACGTTTCGTTCGTCCCAGTCGATGACAAAATCGAGGATCGGATATCCTATTGTAATGCACGCGATATACCTGTGCGACACGTCACAAATACGCACAAATAACACGGATTTCGTCATTCGACGCTCCCTTCGACTCCCCAAGTCTCGGGAGCCAGGCAACGCACATCGTGGCCCTAACTCGTCGCTCTGAACAATGCACCCGTATCCTCGCGTGTGCATCGAGCGGCCACCCAATAAATCCACGGTTTAATTAAACTAAGTTTAAACGGGGATCCCTTCCGCGATATAAAGCAGTTATACGTATTACTACGTTCTTGATCCGGTGCTAAATCAATTATAGAAGTTGCGGAAACATCGGTGAATGGTTTATCGCGTCTTTGCACGATTGCGCGTCTTCGATTATTTTTAATATCGACGAACCGACCGATCGAAACTAACTCTAACCAACTTTCACGCGACATTTTATCGCTCCTTCAAACCGATCAAATATCATTGGACGGGCGAATTTAACGCCGTCCGACATGTCGAAGCCGTTCCATGTAGATAGATCCATGTATTCGTTAACGCGGCGGACAGGAAAAATAACGGTTTCGCGAATTTTTTCAAATAGAAAAGGATCGCGACCAAGCGATTTTGATCTCTTGAAGGAACAAACGTATCGTATCGTACAGACGGAATAATCGAGTCGTCCGCACGCGCATCACCGATTCCTTTTGCGGGCTGTGTACACACGATTAAGTCGTTCCAATTATTTGCGCAGATAGGGTGGAGCTCGATCAATTAAACGGATCACTTTCACGACACCGTTAGATGGAATCGAGACGAATGCTACGCAAACTAGATAGACAATTCTCCGACTATTTTTCCCCACGGAGAAGGAGAGGGAACAGCGGCGGAGCAACAGTTTTCCAACGGAATTTTAAGAAGCTCGTATATCACCGTATCAAACCTGCTGCATTATTCAAGGCTAATGCATTTCCCGTAATAATAAGAACCGAATAGATTTCACTCGAAAATTCGCGTGTTACCGATGCTAATGTCGCGGTTGCGGAATAAAACACGAATGTACGAGAAGGGAATGGAAATGCGGAGAATGGCGCGATATGCGGAGCGTGGAACAATTGTTTTCGTTCGTGAATTACGAAAAAATGTTTCAGCTTTTAATGGAATGAACTTGGTGAATTTAATCCACGAAAAAGGTATGCGGTTAATGTTACACACACAATCGTGACGGTGACAAGTCATCAAGGGTGTGCGTCAAGGGTGAAAATGTCGGAGGGTGAAGAAATCTAAAGTGCATAAAAGTACACGTGCAAACGCGAAGAACACAAAGAAACGTTAACTTAACCAATAGCTCCTCTCATTTTCCTAACATTTGTGAACAATTATTACCCTTCTTCCACACTGTGTAATTAATATAGTTTAAATAACAAAAAAAAAAAGAAGAAGAAAAAGAATTCATCAATTCGAAATTCCTATTCAATTATCCAACGTTTATCCTTCGATCTTTTCTTTTACGTTCTTGTTATACGTACGCGTCTCTGTAAGTTAAATTAATCGCTCGTTCATTTGCTGTTGGCTCACGTGCCTTTTAGTTTCGTATGTATATACAGAGGAGCGAGTTGATTGATAGAGGAAAAGGGGATTCTCTTCTGTAACCGCTTGGCCAAGTATACTTGATCGGTTCATTTGCCGCTGGCGAGGGTGCAGTCACCCTGTGGCCACCCTTGGCAATCCTAGTCTAACCTGCACTTGCTTCTTCCGCTGTTCGAGACTCTCCTGTCTAGCAATTAAAGACAGCACTTGGCCGGCTCGAGCTAAAGAGACAGCCATACCGCTATTGACACGTACAAGGGGGAACATATACGTGTATACACACACAGGCGTACGATGTATTCAGGACAGATTCGAGAACCGGAAGAGAAGAGATTTAAAGACTGTCTTTCTTGCTGCTAGTTCGATGGATGGATGTTAAAGTAGACTCGACCCGAACCGATATCAAAGAGGCATCAGTGGTGGTGAATATCGTACAAAAGCCGAACCGATGATAGCTTTCTTCCACCCATCGATTCGCTTTTGTATGGCGAAATATAAAATAATCGAATCCACGACGGTCAGAATCGAAAGCGAGGATGATTTTTATTCGATGTAAATATCATTTTATATTATACGGATCGAAGGCAAAAATAAATAGTATTTAGCAAGAACGAACGATGATTTTTATCGATCAATATTCGCGCGAAATTTAAAAATATCACGGACGAAATTTGCCTGAATAGATAATCCGTGAAATGAATTGAAATCGAGGTTTATCCGTTCCTGTTAATTTATCCTAATTCGTACGGTGATTAATAATTCACACGTTTCCAGAAATCCGTGAACCGTGTGGGACGGAAAATGTTGCAACAATATGCGGATACACCTCGATAAGTAAACATTACACGATTTCTGCGTACGTGAGTCCGAACCGAAAACTAGTCATTACGTATATTGATACGGTTTATACGTATGCTAATGCCCAAATACCCATAATTATGCGAAGATTTCGGTATGCTGCTGTTCCTGATGGTATTAACCATCCACTGCCGAACATTTAATGAACTACATTGTGTTAGAAATCATCGGTATCAGTTGGGTAAAGTTTCGCCATTTCGCCTACCGAACCTTTATTATGCATAAAATTATTCGTGATTTCATCGATACAATTGTACATGCTTTCGATGCACGGATTACACGCGAAAAGGACGAAAATATATATATATATATACACTCGTCGAATCATTGCGAAAGTAAATTAATCGATGAATGGAATATTATATACGAAATACGAATAAAAATATTTCTCTTATTTTCTCTAACGATTTTACGATATTTCTCGAAATAAACGATAAAATGTTTGTACTCCTAGCATTTCCCTACACGAATATTTCCTATATGAATAACTGCGGAAAAATAACGCATTTCATCATCCATTAAACTCGTTACTTTGTACCATTTGTTAAAATGATTTATAAAATACCAATACATTACAATAGAAAATAACGTTGAGATTGATTTATATATATAATATATATAAAAAAAAAAAGAATATTCGCGATTATCAATAGAAAAATGTTTCTACCTAACGATTCGCATTAATATTCGTCTCGAAATATATTTTAAAAAATAAATCGTCACTCACCACTCTGTCTCCAGGATGTTTCACGAAGCAATTCAATTCCGCTGTTTGGCCAACAATGGCGGTGACATTTCGTGGGCCGATGTCGTCGAAATCCGGTTTATTCAAAAGTCTCGTCGGCTTGCTCCCAGCGACCACACTCGCCAAACTCGATCCACCTGAAAAAAATATGAAAATACCATTGAAGAAATTGTTCACTTTACGAATTTTTCCATTTTTCGTAGAAATCTTCGTAGAATAACTTCGTAAATAATTCGAAGACGCGAACGCGAAATGTTAAAATTTTGTCGCGAGAAGTGCATAAATAACAGAGAAATCTATTCTTATTTAACAAGGCGTCACAGCAACAGAACAACCAGAGTGGTATTCCTCGCAAAGTCAAAGTAAGTTGAATGAATATGGAAACTCTTCGAGCTTTACGTTTTCAAACGAGGTTAGACGATGCAGGTGCTTTTGCAACATCAAAAGTTCTATCTTTCGAGTAGGTTAGTTGTTACCATCTTGCTTTCCGACGAACAAGAAGACACGCACGACGCGACATTCATACACGCGCATGCGCACACGACTGATTCCAATAAGCACTTGATTAAAGATGAACTTTCGACAATACTAATGCGTCGTGCTATTATAATATAGTCTTGGTACGCAATCACGGTTAACGTTTATGAAATACCGTGTTAGTCGTGCCACAACAGCCCACATCGTCTTCTTTGATCCACCGTTAATGCAAATAGTTCGCCAACTAATAATTTCGAGAATGCCAAGCTCTCCCACGGCACGCTTCTATGTCTATTTTCATACCTAATTTCGACTTATGCGCATATAACCGGATTAAATCACTATTCAGTTGTCGACTTACCTATGAAAACGATGTAACAGAATAGTCGAGACGAAAGATTAACTATTTTTTCCACGGAAACACTTGTTACGCACCACACGTGTCAACTTCACGGACGCCATTTTGAAATTCAAACTCATGACTCGTTTTTCTTATGCTCGTATGTTTTCCTTTTCCGCGTGACGTCGCCACCAGTTCAGTCGCGATGATACGTATTGCGTTTATACGTATTCGTACTATAAATAGTTTATATACGTACACGTGTATGTATGTATGTATACCACGAATGAATGTTTTCATTCCAATATTCATTATACAAGTACATATATTATTTCATCGTACACGATATTTCATTCGAACGAAATTTCGATAAAACACAAACGACAACGATAAATTATATATATGTGTATATGACTATGAATAATAATCGAGCGGAATGCAATAATTTTTATCGATATTTTTTGCCCTTTAATTTACCATTAAAATATCATCCGTTCGATGGTAACAAATCTATAAAACAATACACGCGAGAACGAACATATTCTCCCTAATTTGCGAACGATTCAACGATTTCCGAGGACCCAAATGGGTAATTATTATCTTTCCGCCGAATTGAGTTACACTCGACCAGATTTGTATGAATCACTCGATTCGTACCATTAGCCAGGATTTCGTCGATCGTAGAAACGAGAGAGTCGTCATTAACATAATCCCGCGAGACTGGGTGGAAATGGTAGAAAAACGGTAACTGTGTTGAACGAGGCTTGAATCGTTTGAGGGAGGAGGGGGAGGGAGAGGGGGGGGAGAGTCGATGCGGGGATATGCGTGGGACGCAGATGGAAGACGCGGAGAGGTGGTGCTCGATAAAATTTCCCATTGTATTCGGAGGGAGAATAGGATTTCAGTGGGGCAGAAATTGAAATTGTTACAAGGTACACGGCGAAACTGTGGAAAACGTTCAACGATATCCAGACGATATCGATATGCATTTCCGTAGGAACGGGATTGGCAACCGATAACGAAGCGTCGACGAGTTGTCGTGAAATTAATTCACCATCGCGCCGTTCGTTTCTCCGTCGCTCGTCACGGTCACAGACCGTTTCGGAATGGTCTATTTAATGGCGTTCTATCCCAGACTAATCTGGAAAGGAGAAATGGAAAATCTGTAAGCGTACTCCGACAAAAAAAAAAAGAAAACGTCGATGGAACGAACGCCTGCTACCATCGCGAGAGAAAAAAAAAATTTGAACACGCTGTATAAGTGAAAATGGATCAAAATAGGTGGCTATCAATCGAATTTTTCTGTATCTCTAGAAGAAATCTTGAAGGAATTCCATTGTCGATCGTCATAGCATCGTAAGAGGCACGGGCACGGACCAACCATCCATATCTTAAAAATTCTAGAAATTTCAGTTTCATCTGTCTCTCTTTTATCTCTGTCACTATCCGTCTCCATCTTCGATCATTTTCCCACTCTCGATCTTGAGATGAACATGGAGATAAACACGCGCGCGTTTCTTCGCGGAGAACGATGGTCGATCCTCAAGGTACGAAGTCACGGTTATAAAAGAGCGAAGGTACGCGAAAATATTCTTTACACGTTATTCCGTGTATGTTTATTCAAATTTATTCAAATTCAAATTTATGTGCGCAGTATCTGCAGCGAAACACGCGTATGAATGCCGTCGATTTAAATAAGCCTTTACGGCAGAGGAAAATCTACTAGAATTTTTTTTCACAAAGATCTCGCGTTTCCCCGATTCCTTTCTCCCTTCCTCGGAAAAACACAGGGATCGTACCTTTACAACAAAAGTGGACTCTCTCTCTCTCTCTCTCTCTCTCTACACTCCA